TAAGGTGTATATAATGATGATGTCATGAGCGTGGTTGGAGCGATTTTTTAAAAAAGATGATTAAAAGTGTGATGACCGGGGAAAATGACGCCGTCGATCACGTGATTTCTACATTGTTGTGTTACGAATATTGTGTTACAAAATGTATCCAAGGCTTAAAATATTCAGCAAGGCTGAAAGTACCCAAAATCAAGAGCAAAAACTAAGGTTAGCACTTTGCTTGATTGTTGTTAAAAATTCCCTGTCTAAACGTCTTTGTTGCGATCTTGTTCCGGCGCTTTAGGCCCTCCCGGCAGATGTGTTGGTCTATAACAGTAAACCAATCTTAATAGCCGAGTGAAAACAATACTCCTTGATAGTTTGCAAATCACCAGCAGTCAATAACTGTTACAATTTTTCCAAAACATCCATACTTGCTACTGGTTGTTTTCAATTAATTCTCTAATCAAGCACATACGCATATTATTACCAAGCACTGCCACTTTGAAGTGTGGATTCTTGATCACGTGGATTGGGGCTCCATGGCAAAATCTATTTCTTTGAGAAGCAGCCCGCAAGCTTCTCAATATTCTCAAAATAGACAAAATTACATTAAATGTATGTGTGGCAAATGGCTTTACTACTTTATTTTGGCTGATTTTTCGCTCATCCAGGCCGTTGGTGGTTTGAAAAAATGTATGGCAATTTTCTGTTGTCAGCACTTTGTCAGCAGATTTTGTCACTTTTCTGCTGCCATGACAACTGTCGAACAATTTCATTGTCAATCAGTCGGCTTTGTCGAGGAGGTCGTTAACCGCCACCTCTTTGTGCGGAAGGCAATTATTTTCGGAGCGTTGCTCTGCCAAGACTCTGCTAAAGGCCTTCAGTTTTTTGGCACGAAAACGGTGCTGCATCACAGCTCGGTTCTCCGCAATGGATGGAAGTTTTGACTCGAAGTTTTGGGAATCAAAACCAGTCGAATGCCACACCTTTTTCCCAAAAACTCGAGACCGTACAAGCAAAAGTTATGATTGTCATGATTATCGCCTGTACATCGCTGTACGAATCCTTTATCGCAATCGATTTTAGCTGTACCCGTTCTATCACGTGTCCATTTTCTTACGTCTTTGTTCACTTCACGAAAACGAAAAACAAACGTCAAACCCTCGAAAAACTTCATGATTTTCAAAAGAGCGTTGGACTTAAATCAAAAGCAAACTGAGCACGAACAATTCTTGATAAAAAGAATAGTTTAGCATCAACTAGAGCAGCTGTTTTTGTAAAATTGTGAAAACCCAAGTCTTCTTCGAATGTCCTGACCTAAATTTTCAAAACAATCATTATCAAGGAACTAATTGTTTGCGGGCAGTACTAGCAAGAGCTATTTCTAGTATTTAATCAATTTAGTAGTGTTCCCATTGCGTCTTAAAGTCACATGTTTTGTTAGGTCCTATTGTGTTAGTGAACGCCTTTTTATGGCAATGTGTTTGTCGGTCAACATGTATTGTGAAGTTCGTATTGTCCTGTTAATTAGCTTCCGTTTATGTTATTAGTGTGTGTTGTTCACGTTTTAAGTTTTTATAAGTATAGAAGGTAAAAACTAAAAAAACCAAATCCAAAAATTGAAAAATGAGAAAAAAGAAGATAAGGAGTAGTCACTACCACCTGGTTACAGCACACACAACCACCCTCAATCCCAGATGGGGGATGGTTGTGTGTGCCCCTTGTATGTTTAAGCAATTAGGTTCAAAAAAGGCAGAAAATGATAAAAAAGTAACTCATTAGCCAGACACCCACGAGAGACATTTCGGGGCTTTTATTCGGTATGTCCGTTTCTCGTAGGCGCCCCTCGCAATCCTGCGTCCAGGATCACGGTTGCAAAATAAAGATATAGGTAATAAGAATGGAAATTCATTAATTAGTGGATACCGTACCTTAGACGTAACTGTGCCTCTAGTGTAATATTTATATATTGTTAAAGTTAAAGGCGCATGATGCTTCGAGAAGCGGCTTTGTGCTACTGGCCTAATTGAGAGTTAACCAATTGATCTTTGAGGTTAGGCCTTCTAGTGAGGGCTAGAACCGGTCTGGTGTTGTTCCATATTTGTTTAAGAAAGCACCGGCTGAAATCAAGTGCCAATGTTTACCTTTGGAAATATACCCGCGAGATTGCTGAAAAATAGCTCTGACATTTGTTCCGAATCGTTGCAGCTTATTTTCAATAACTGCATTCAAAATGGTGTCTTTCCGGACCTATTAAAACTAGCAGGTGTCACTTCCCTCCACAAATCGGAGGAGAAAACCAATAAGAAAAATTAGAGACCGGTTAGTGTATTAACAACTGTTTCAAAGGTTTTTGAGAGACTTATGGATAAACAGATTATTGATTATTTGCAATCTTATTTATCGTCACTTTTATGTGGTTTTCGTAAAGGGTACAATGTGCAGCACGCATTAGTTCGAATGCTTGAAAAATGGAAAGCAAGCTTAGACAGGGGAGAAAATGTTGGCGCAATCCTTAAGGATCTCTCGAAAGCCTTTGATTGTATTAAACATGACCTCCTTATAGCAAAACTAGATGCTTACGGATTCAACCATGAAGCACTGTGTCTTGTTAACAGCTACTTGGAAAATAGGCATCAGAGAGTTAAGATTAATGGATCATTCAGTACCTACAAACAACTGTTCCTTGGTGTTCCGCAAGGATCAGTTCTTGGTCCCCTCTTCTTTAACATCTACATAAATGACTTACTTCTCTCCTTAATGGATACGGATATCTGCAATTACGCGGATGATACAACTCTGTATGCGTGCGATAAAAATCTCAATAATGTAATTGCAAGGCTAGAGAATAACTCAAGTATAACTATCCAATGGTTCGCTGATAACTTTATGAAGTAGAATACAAACAAATGTCATTTACTTATTTTTGGCAAAAGGTTAAAGTTAATGTAGGAGATTCTATCATAGAAAACTCGGAAGAGGAAAAGCTACTAGGTGTTGTGATAGACAAAAAACTCAGTTTTGAGACACATATCAGTAAGTCATGTAAGAAGGCTGGTAGCAAACTCACCGCCCTCGCTCGCATATCTGGATACATGGACGCTAATAAACTTAAAATCTTAATGAGAGCATTTGTAATTAGCCAATTCGAATACTGTCCACTAGTCTGGATGTTCCACAGTAGGCACTTGAATAGTAAGATTAATAGAATACACGAAAGAGCTCTGAGAATTGCATACAAAGACTATGATTCTAGCTTCAACACTCTGCTAGAAAATGATGGCTCGGTAAATATTCATGTAAAACACCTGCAAAATCTTATGATTGAAATGTTTAAAACAAAGGGGAATATCAACCCTCCTTTTATGAGGGAGATTTTCTGCGAGCGTCATGCTGTTTATAATTTGAGAAATAATAATGAATTTATGGTACCAAGAGTAAGAACAACCATTTATGGAACCGAAACTATCAAATATAGAGGGCAGCGTCTTTGGCTCTCTTTACCTCAGCACATAAGGAATGCTCAATCTATTAATGAGTTTAAGAAAGAAATTAAAAGCTGGAATGACACAGACTGTACATGCAAACTATGTAGGACGTTCGTGCCACAGCTTGGTTTTTTGTAATTCTATCTTTTAAATAGCTCAGGTTTTTATACTTTTTTAATGGATCATTTTGTACTTGAAATTTTATGTATTTAATCTCGTATGTATTTAGTTGATGTAGTAGTTTTAACAGTTGGCTTGGATTAGCTCATTTCTTTGTAAATAGCTATGTAGCGCCAACTTTAAATGAATTGATTATTCTTATTATTATTATTATTATGTTTAGTAAGACGGAACCTATATTTTGAGTTTTGATGTCGAATGGGACAACAAAAGGTAAAACTTTTTGTTTTGGTGGAGGTGGTTCGAAGCTGAGGTAGTGCGGCCCCCCTGTCTGGGTGCCCTGTGGGGTGGTAATTGAATTAAGTTAGTGCTTTCAGTTGAATTACTAGAGAAAACATCAAAACGTTACGAAAAGAACTTCTTAAAATTTATGGCAACAGCGCGTAAGCATTATCAAATCATCCCTAGATACAGGCAAAATGCTAAAAAGAGAAATGAAGAAGAATGTAACATTTCATTATAAAAAATTTAAAAAGGCTCCCCAGAAGTAGACAAAGTGACGTATTGCAAAGAAAGATTTGAGAAAGAAAATAAAGGTTAAAAAACACGATCAGAGAAATGGGGGTTCAACTTATGAATCTGACCTCATTCGTTCTTTGTAATATGATATTTTTCATTTGAAAATATGACGTTCTCAATTGTTAATGTCTCACTCCATCTGAATTGATAATGTCTCACTCCGCCCCTGGTGCATTGATAAAACAAATAGCTCTTTAAGAAAGCGTTTAATCGTATATCTACATGAATTTCAGCCCTTATCCCAATCCTAACTGCACTTTATAAAACTGTATAAGACAGACAAAATAGATATTTCTTGCATGGCACACGCCACGAATTTGAAAGGGGAGCAAGACTAGCAAAAGCAAAAGTATGGGGCCAATGCTTTTTACCCCTTTTACTGCAGCTTTAAAACTACTTGCTACGCAAAAAAGTGGGGGGGGGGGAGGCTGGCCACCCCGGTCCCCCCGGTGGCGTGGGCCCTGCCTTTGTCACACGTAAATGGCACTTACCAATTTTATTCTTTATGGCAACGGCCTTCATCAATACTGAAGTCTTTATCTAGACGTTATATGTGCCCCCTGTATTATCTGGAATGGCCATATCAATTCACTTTGTTTTGTTACTGTCTTTTAAAGGAATATGTAGGTTGACTGCAAATATCTGGCACAGCCACATACAAGGCCTAGGTTCTTATCCAAATGCAGCCGAAAAGTTAATTTTATCCCTCACGAACAGCATTAACAAGTATTATTCTTTCATGATTTCAAAGTGTGATTCAAAACTGAAGTGTGGTTGCTGTTAGTTCTTCTGTTTGAAGACCTTTGCTTTCAATGTTTTAAATGTTTTTAGGAAAGGCTCCAAAGAGCTATTCTACAACTGAGCGAAGATCTTAGAAAGGAAAAGGAAAAGCAGCTAACAAAAAGCAGAGATTTTGAGGAATTTATTGAAGAGATTGGAAATGAGAACACAGAGCTTAAGAAGACAGTTGACACTTTGAAATCAGTATGTTATTTTGCTAATTTTTCTTAAAAGTGGCATCTATCACCGAAAGACGGGCGGAAACTGAAAGACAAGCAGAACATTTCTGCAACTAAGTCCTTCTAGATTAGTATAAAATACATTTCAGAATGACGTTTTGCTATTTTCAGGCACACTTTTACACGTTTGATTATATCCTGTTTTGCTTTTTGAGGCTCCCTAGATCTTGAAGCCCGGGGAAAATTTTCCCCCTTCCTGGCCGCTCTCTCGGTGGCCCTGGCTATAAGTACTCTTTTATTACCTTTTTGTTATTTTCATCTCGATTAGTTTCAATGTATATTTTCCTTTGCTATTTGTCAGAAAATTAAAAATCTGTCCCAGAGAGTCATGTTAATGTCTGCGGATGAAAACAGCCTGCAAAGAAAACTTGAGGAAGAACTTAGCTCAAAGAGTCAGTTAGAAGGCAAGGTAAAGCTTTTGCAGGATAAAATTGAAAACGAGAAGCTAACAACTTCAGAACTAAGCGAAACTTTGAAAGCAGCAGACCAAATAAAATCAAATTATGAAAAGGTGATCAACTTTTCACATTACATTATATTACTTCTAACTTTTGGCTTTGGAGCTGCGTTTCTAATCTTTAAAAGTTTTATCTATGACCATGACAACAAACCAAAACTCAGTTTTCGGGATAGTTGGAGAGTTATGGTAGCCAACCTTCTGATAGAAGATGGTACCTGATGATAAAAAAGATATCGCACGCACGATGGATACAAAGTTGGAAAAAAAATGATGATCGGCTTTTAGATTCGTGACCAATGTTGTGCAGCAATAGGTAACCATTAGATGTGAGATAATTTCAATCCAGGTATATAGAACATAAATCAATTGAGTTAAATCGGTTGACAACGCAAAATTCCACTCTAGCAGTTTCTCTAAACATTTCAACAATTTTTAACAACTTGGCGTCACAACCATCGTGTTTTTTGAAAAAGAGCATTTGTACAGTAATGAATTATCGTAATTTGTTTGTTGTGTGACATTTCTTTGCGTGCAAAGGGAGTTCGACAGAGTTTCTGTTGGCAAAAAGTGAGTTTGAAATTTTCATTTAACAGGAAAAGTCCCTGCAATGTAGAATGATGAAGGAATCGGAAAACATGCTGCGAAAAAAGGAGGCAGAGATAAAGAGCATGAAAGCTTTTATAAAGCAATTACGAATGAATCTACAAAACAATGAAGTAAAGGTAAATAGAGCTACAAATGTGTGTAAAAATTAGCATTTTTATTCCTCTATCATTTATTTCACCTGCTCTGTAGATACCCGTTTTAAATATATTCTTGTTCACCTTAAAGGTTTCTGAACACCAAAAAGAATCATGGGATTTAAAAGAAAAGTTAAAGTATCTCAATCAGCAATTGGATGTTTTACCAAAGGTGCGCAAAGAGCTCAGCCTGAAAATCGAAGAAGTCAATGAACTAAACAAATATCTAGCAGAATGTAATGAAAGCAGGTTTGAAAATGATTTTCTTATGTTAGCTTGCAATTCTAGCACTTTTTTTAACTTTTTAAATTATGGCAATGATGTAAGGTTTTGACAAAAAAACTTAATTTCTGTCCTGCTGATACTCATTTTAATGTAACAGGAAACTGCAATCTGGTGTAATCATTGAATTACAGAAGCAACAATGTTTTCTGGAAAGCAGAGAAAAGAAGCAACTAAAAGAGTTGGAAGCATTACAAAAAGACGCTTATATGAAAGATGAAAAGATTTTTGAGTTGAAAAGAAGAAACCAAAAGTCTGTAAAAGAGGTAAAATTTAACACTTACTTAGATAAAACTAATAGAGCTTCGCAGTCTCTGAGTCTGTACTGGTTGTAGACAATCTTCTTTCCCCTTGAAGATTATGTGCGCATACTCGTTTTGCAGTAAGTAATCTGTCTTATGCAATCATTGAAATTGCTTTGTGTTTATCTTAATTTGCTATTGAAAAAACTATCATTATATAATTTATATCATGGGTTCTTTACTGTTTTAAGTGCCGGACCAGAATAACATGTTTATTATCTCCGGTGCCAGTGAGTTTTAATCTTTTATATAGCTTTTCAACTTTTACATTACATATAAAAAAGGTTGCTCAAAATGAAGTTCAGATCTCGTACTTATCAGGCTAAATTTAAAATAAGATGGGCAGGCTTGTCATTTCTTGTTAGATTCTTTATTCTTGAAATTTACCATGCCTGCCATAAGTACTTGGAACACCCAGCAATTTGCGTTGCACTTGATATCTTTGATTCTTGTCCCGAAAAAAATCACTACTTCCGCCCCCGTCCCATTAAAACAATGTTGATAATATAGAGAAATATCATAAAAGAAACGCAAAGGAAAATTCTTCCTAAAATCCGAACCCGTTTGATAGTAAACCAACATTTTTCTGTAGAGGAGAGGGGATGCTTGATTTTGACCTTATAAATTGACGTCAGTGTTACAAGACTTTTGGCAGGCATCATATGTAGTGTACTTCTTTTCATGAATTAATTTTTCAAAGGGCGAATAAAAGATGAGAAAAGTAGGATGGCAATGATAACAGTTAAGAGGATGGTGTCGGCTTGATGCTGGAGGGATTGGCTCAATATACAATGTACGACGGATTTACACACCCGAGGCCGGGGATAGCTATCCGGGGGAGGGGGGCTGAAGGTCTCAAGCTTAAAAAAAGCACATAAACTCAAAAAATTACAAAGAAATGCAGAAAACACAGTTTGGTAATAAAGCATTAGCCTTTGCCCCAGTCCACAAATGCTGCCACATAAAAAAGCATGAGCTATAGATAATATTTGGCTTCAGACCTGGGATCTTAGAAAGTGGAGGAAGGGGCATGGTCATGGTGAGCACATCAACGACCTATTGAATTATTTTCTTACTTTTTTTACTCAACGTAGTAAAATATTTTGCTATGGACGATTAAATGAAATAAAGTGAAAGTAGTTAGGTCCTTCAGTGAATGGAAAGAAATCTACTAGAGAGTTCCACAAGGGTCAGTTCTAGGGCCTATTTTATTTAATATATACATTAACGATCGGCTTATATTTGTACCAAACATAGAGATATACAACTATGCAGATAACACAACTCTCTAGGCGATTGAAATTGACCCCACTCATGTAATTAAACAATTGGGGAAAAATTCATTAACAGTTGCAGAATGGTTTGGAGACCACTGTATGACGTTAAAAGGGGACAAATGCCACTTCATGACTTGCAACAACTTAATCAACGAAAGCGGCGAGGAAAGACTACTTGACGTTACAATAGACAAAAAACTCTCATTTAAGCCACACATGAAAGCACTCTGCAAAAAGGCTAGTCAAAAACTACATGCCCCCACCCGCATTTTATGCTACTTAAGCACAGATCATCCCAAACAAACAATGAGGACATATATGTGGCAAAACAGCTATTTCTTATAAGAAGCTACATAATTGTATTTGTACTGAGAGTTTCTAAGAAGTATCAGATCTTAAATAAAGATATGCCATTAGATTTCTTAGACTGAAGGATCTACGATAAAAAGTCTCTAAAATGATTTGTTCTTAGAATTGGAGTTTATAAGTGGTTTCTTATAAAAGTATAAGTATCCATACGACGTTTCAATCGGCAAGTGGGACCTCGATAAGTGGAACTTTTGCAGTATTCATGGGAATTAATTCCTTTGAAATGTGCAAATGATATTTCCGCCAATATTAACTCAATATATAGAAGTTTTTATATAGATATTTCTATATAGAGGTTTTTAATAGCAAATGCTCTTCCTTGCTGCCACTTACCCAGAGTTTTGGTTAACTGGGGCATTCGCTAAGGGAAACAGATTTTGTGGAACCATATCCCCTCGAGGTCCTAATGAATAAGATTAGGGCCTTTATCTCGGTCCTTGGTTTATGACCAGTTGTCAGAGTACTTGGAACAACAAGGATTGCTATCAGAGTTACAATATGGCTTTCGAAAAGGTTATAACAATGAGCTAGCTGTCACCGTGTTTACCGACAACATTCGCCGTGTGATTGACAGTGGGAGCTATAATGACTGGAGCTGTGTTCATAGGCCCTATTCGCACTGCATCTAGAAACCTGATAATGCTTATTACTTATTGTTCTATCTTCAAAGGCGGCAAGGGTTTGTCAGAAAGTAGTTTAATTGGTAGAGTGCGAACAGCAAAATCTGAAATCTGACAAATTGTAACGTTTCGACTAATTGGTCAAAGCTTCCGTCGTAGAGCTCTGGAGCATCACAATCTCGTGAAAATCTATGATAACCAGCGGGTGACTCGACGGACATGCCAGAATTATCTTGATATCAATAAAAAAGTCCAGGGTGCTATTTGAAATCATGTCACAATTTAAAAAGGTACAATTTCTTAATGGCAACCTGATAACGTGTTAGATAACAATGCAACATCTCAGAAAACTGCCTAATGCGAACAGAAGTCTGACAAACTTTGTCAATCTTGAAAAAGTTTTTTTAATTGGCGTGAGAATATCGGGCTTGACAAACATTATCATATTTGCAGTGCGAATAGGGCCATAGACCTACGAAAAGCCTTTGTACATAAAGTACTTCCGTTGAAGCTGCCGCTCAAAGGAATCGTGGGTGGTGAACTCAACTGGATAGCAAAGCATCTGTCTGGTCGATATCAGTATGTTCAGTATGATGGAGTAAAATCTGATTGTGAGGTAGTCAAGTATGGCGCACCACAGGGCATTATTCTTGGACCGTTGTTTTTTCTTCTACAGTTAAACGATCTCGTCAAAAGTGTGGAAAACTGTAACATTCAAATGTATGCTGACGACACGGTCATCTACACATCACACAGCAACATTAGCGTCATCGAGCATACCTTAACATCGGAGATGAATAATGTCTCTAAATGACTAGACAAAAACAGGCTCATCAACAACTTGAATAAAGGAAAAACAAAGTCAATCCTATTTGACACAGAAAAACGTCTTTCTTCAAAAGATCCGATGGAAATGTATATGAATAAGAAACTTATAAAAGTTGCTAATGGGTACAACTTACTTGGAGATTGACTGCAACCAACATTGAATATGAACGAAGACCTCCGAAGAGTATTAAGAAAAAGATAAAGCTGCCCGAACAAAGCTTTTGTCCCGCATGCGTGATTAAAGACTCATTGCTAACAATGAGCCATTGCGCTACACAAGCATCCCATAATGCATTTTTAGACTGTCTGTAATCAATTTTGGTTAATCCGTAGAAGTTTACTGCATTGTTTGGACCGCTCGAAAAGGCCGATTGTTAGCAATGAGTCTTGTAACTATCGGTTTTTGCTGCTAGGCGGTATACAATTCTTCATTCTACCAACAATGCTTTACTGGCAAAGAAATAACCCATAGAGATAACTAAGCAATTTTTTTTCTTTTGGGCTCTGGAATATATGACATTCCTACAAACTTCTGCTAAAGTTAACACGCATATTTTGGCAGTAATGGACAATTAAGCCAAAACGGTGTGAAGCTTTGGCTATCCACGACCCATCTTTATCTGTTGACAAAATCTTAGTTTTTATAGAGTGTTCTCCATTCAAATCAAAGCATAAACTTGATTCATGAAATTCAAAATGTACGGGTGTTTGGATAGTGATGGAGTTTGATTGTTGCAGGGTTGTGAAGAAAGCACTCTAAGGCCCTAGACAAAATTTGCTTTTTCAAGTATCCTCAGAAACATCGCACAAACTGATTCTGCAATAAGGCGACTCGGCGCCGTTGGAGCGAAATTCACATTAGAGGGATTGTCTGCCAATTGTATTCCTTCTCATTCATTTCACTGACATAAAGGAAAAATGCTACAGTTTGACAATTACCGGCGGGGGGGAAGCTCTCCAGCCTCCCCGGTTTCGACGGCCCCGCGACTCTATTAAACAATTTAGCTTCATTTGCTTTCATTTGCAATTTTATTTCATCATTGGATTTGATAAAGATGTCTTCAGCCTAATGGAAACCCTGTTAAGAATCTGCGGATATTTAATTGTCTGGAAGATAATGTATAGGTGGCAAGCTATTTTTCATTTAAAAACCAATGCTAATTATATTTCTTCAGCATGAAGATGTGGACAACGTTACAAAAGCTTTAGCTATGCAGCTCGAGTCTCTGCAAGATGAAAATGAAAAATTGAAAATGGAATTAGAGTCAGTAAAAGAATTTCTGGATAACGAACAGTTAAAGAACAGAGAACATGCGTCTGCTAACCATAGCGAGAAACACATCGACAGGTACTCAATGTATAACTCAATAAAGCTATATCTGGATATTGATATTTATGTTACCAAATTCTTGATTAATGGGCAGCCAAAGGCCCATTTCTTGACAAACCATTGCTAAAGCGATGAATTATTATCGAGAATTGTTGATCATATCAGCTATCTCTATCAGGGAGTAGGGGGATGTCTGTCGAGAGGAAATTTTTTCATGCAAAGATGCTGATTGAGAGTGCTGCTTCCAATTCACAGGACTTCTCTCCCATTTCACCTTCCATGTATATCCTTAACAACATTAATCTTACATGCTTTTAAATTGTCGCCGTTTGAGGAAGTTACGAATAAAAATATTTTTTGTAATAGCTAATATATTGCGATACAGGTAACATAATTTTTAACATAAATCTAAAACTATAGAAAACTATGTATTGTAAGCAGCCGAATCCAGTTGTGAAACCGTTAAAAGCGGATAAAAATGTTGCTATGATAATCTAATTATGAATTCTTTATCATTGAAAATCACCAATTCAGGAATGCAGTAAGCCAGCATTCATAAGAATGTATCGCCGTAATAGATAGATAGCACCCGTTAAAATTGGTTAGATAATTTCCTATGACGCTAAGTCACAGAAACATTACATCAAGCTTCGTCACGATAAACACAAATAGCCAAGTCAATTAACATAAATAGGATTACTGAAATAAGACAATAGCGAGAGAAAAATCCCACACTGTTCTTAATGCAGTTATAGCTACTCCAATCAAACAAGAATAAGATTTTTTCATTTAGAACTGCTACTAGAACAAAATCGAAACTAAATTCCAAAGGGGAAAGTTTCTTTAGAACAGGCGCAAGCAATTAATTGTTTTATGGGGCTACATAAGAAATCTAAGCTGTGTTGGAGCGCCAAACCAATGATTACTTTAATCTGCTTAAAATTTTACTATATTTCAGTTACGTCGAAAGGTATAAATGTTACCAGAAAAAAGTATCCGAAGGGCCGGATGTGGCCTACGGGCCGTAAGTTGCCCAAGTCTGCTTTAGATACATCCTCCCAAAATTTTCCCTTATCTTTTAAAAATAGGCATTGATCCTTTAGTAATAAATACACTTAATAACTGTATTCAGGATTCAATTTTCCCGAATCAATTAAAAAGTGCTGATGTCAACGGCCTGCATACGACCCAACTAAGAAAAGTAACTAAAATACAATCAGTAACCTAGCTACGATTTCAAAGCGTATGTGAGACTCTGACATATGAAGAGAAATGGAAAAACTTGAACATCTCAGAAGTTAGAGAAATTTTGTTGGTTAAAAATGAGCAGATCGGGTGTTTCAGAAAGTCTGGAGGCCAACCCCAAATGATTGAATTTAAAGCTTTCATTGGAGTCTCAGTTGAAGAGAGGCATGACTATATCAAGCTAATCATTTATGAGAATCCTTCTTTATTGATCGTTAAAGGATCAATAAGAATCAACAGCAATAAATTCCATAATTTAGTATTATGAAGACATTTTAGAGGGCTCCTAGTTGACAGCATAGAAGTCCATTATCTGACCCTTAGGTTTGATATTTTGATCCAAGTAGCAGAAACTATCTATTTTTAATAACTGATTTTTCAGTTGTCATTGAAGTTCTTCTGAAAAACTCTTCATTTTTTAAACAATTTGCATCTTTGACGAACAGTATAATCATCTGCGAAAAGTGTTAACATTAAATTCTTCTTCCAATATTGTAAATCGTTAAGCAACATGAATGGCATATGTATTTTAATGTGATTTCATTTTATTCTTTAGGGAAAAATGTGGAAATAGGGCTCTTGAGGTGCAAGTAAACCAGTTAAAAAATAACCTGATGATAACGCAGGGTCGGCTACAAAAAGAAGTGGAGTGGAGAATAAAAACAGAAAATGAGTTGCGAACAGTAAGGAAGGCCAAGACTGAATTGCAGTCACAGTAAGTTTAGCTTCTTTTAAAATCTTTCGAGCATTAAAGAAGCTGATGCTAATTTCCAGGTGCTACTAATTTCAGCATCAAATGAGAATCTAGACAAATTTATTGATTGAATCCATCTATTGATTGTGAGATCCTGTCAGAGTGTTTAAACTGCGCTTTGCATAAAGCTTTCAGCAGGTTTCCACAGAATCTCAGACATAGAGAGCTTAAATAAAAGTTCGTAAGGGAGCGTAAAACTCATATATTTAATTTTGAGTTGAAACAACAAGTTGAAGTTTGATTTTGTTCAACTCTAAAATATATCACGCTCTACAAACAGAAATACTTCTAAAGAAGTATACATAAATGTATGTAGGCCAATTTGTCTTGTAATCAATAAAACGTCAAGTAAATAAGATATTTTGATTAAATGACTGATGTTGCCTGTTAATGATTATTTAGCTAAACGAACTCTCTAAATTTCTAGGTCAGTTGTAGCAAGTGATCATTTGCGAATGATTTTTTAAGTCAAAAATTTATATTCTAGACTATCGCACCTGGAAGAGGATATTTCTAACAAGTTCATTGAATATCGCAAAGTTTTAATAAAAGTGGAACACCTTGAGAAGGAGAATTCCTTTCTTCGTTTGGAAGTAGAAAACCAATCAAAACAGATGCTTAGCCAATTGAAAGACGATTCTTGATTTTGAAGCTTATCATAAATTTCTTTTTCCAAAATAATCACTGATATAAAGTTTGTCAAGTTGTTAATATTAATTGTTTTTATTGAGAGTAATTTTGATATTGTTCACAAAAAAAAATTATACCAAAACAGAGTCTCCACACGTGCATTTTTCCACAGGGACCAAAATCAACCCTCTTGTCCTTGACATAATGAATCCCCCTCCTCATCTCAAATTACTTGGTTCTCAGCTTCTTTCACTTTCCAACTCAAATGGTGAGGTCTGTACGTTTATTTGTTTTGATTTACAGATATTTCAGCCAGAATGCTTTCAAATTCATTTTTAAAATTCACGGCTGCCAGTGCAGTGCAACCAGATTGCTTTTAAATTTTTGTATCAGCTTCAGGTTTATTATCTTAGAATTCTACTTTATATACACAATTGAAATTAAGAAATAGGGAATTTCTTGAAGCTCAAGCTCTCTCAGCAGATAAATCTACCACGGTGCGAGCACTCCTGTGACGAAGGTGATTGAATTATGCATTTGAATTGAAACAAATAAAGCTTTAGTGTTTTTACAAAGGATCTTTCACTGGACGGTGATCAGCTTTTTGAGTATGATATTGATGGACCAAAGCCTTAAGAAGTAGAAAGTTTTTTGCCTTTCGCCAGTTTTTTAGAAAGTTAAACCAAACCAAATGATACTGCCATTAAAAGTTTTCATCTATGGCGTTTTCCAAAAAAATTAACGTACTGATTTTTCTTCATTGGGCTATTTTCAACTTTGATGTTGAGTTTTTTTTATTCTCATAAAATCTCAAAAAACAAAAAAGCTAAAAGACGATGTCACAGGAAACATAAAAATACATAGCAACCCTGTGACCATTACATTAAACATATTTTCTTAAAATTGGAATTACATTACATGTTACAGATCACATATAACAAATAACACTTACAATTATCAAGTTTAAAAAAATAGATTGACAAAACAAAACAAAAGTGGATGACAAATTAGATAATATTTCTAAAACAACTTACTGGAACTTGTCAGATATATGAATATATTTTAATGTTGAATTTTTGTATTTGAGATCAAAGATAATTTTCGTGTTCATAACGAGCTGCATTTGAAAGGTATGTTAATCCCTGGGGTTGCAAAATCGCCGTCAAATTCTCGAGAAGATCATGTCTATCTGCATGATACAGCAACAAAAAGTATTCCGTATACTCAATACCATCAGTTACTGGGCACATAGGATTTTACAAGGTTTCACTGGAGTTATGTTTGAATTTGCAAAAATTCAGCTTGTTAAGTCGAACAAGAAGATGCGTTAAAATTGACAAACCTTTTTGGGTCATGGATGTCGGTGCGGGGGATTGGGTGGCTGCCCATCGTTTTTCTTCTCATTCAGTACATTTTCAAAAAGGAAACAGCAGCCCCCCCAGCCCCCTCCGGTTCCAACGAGCCTGCCAGTATTCAGTAATAACTTATTATCTTAATGATCTTATTGAAACAAATCAAGACTTTCAGAGTCAAAGTAGATATTGGTATCATCTGCAAATAAGTAGCAGTCTGCAAAATGTCTTCATACACTAACGAAAATCTTCAATCTTCATTCCTCCCTTTGAATCAAATCGATTTGCTAAAAAAGACCGTAGGAGGTTAGTGCGTCTTTTGTGACTGAAAATTTGTCTAAACTATCAGCATTGTTCTAGAGGGAAGGGGTGCAGGGGTAGAAGAACAATATAAAAAGTTGGGGGCTCCGAATACCTTTGACAAGCATTGCAGTTTTGAGAATGCTTTTAGCAAATCATTATTGTAGATTAAAAAAGGAGAGGACCAAGGACTGAGCCCTGTTAGACCCCACATGCACAATTGAGATGAGTGGTGCTTGAATTATTTACTTACACAAACCGTTTCCTGTTTGAAATGTAGGATGTAAGGCCATAGCCGTTTGTAGAAATTTTTTACTCGACGGCAAAGTTAGCGTACCGCATTATATTACATTACTATCTTTGCTCGGGTTTATCCAGTTATGTATGGATTTACCTATGACACAAGCCTTCTTTCAAAGCTTATCTACCCTCTGTCGCTATTCATAATAACTTTTCAATCACACTTTTTAGAATAATAAAACCTCTGATTCTCAAATAATTTTTTCGAGCAAAACAATTAAATTCATAACAAAAAGTGTCGTCGTGAGATTTTTTGTACAATTTTCAAATGCAACGAAAACCGATCACGACGATAAACCGATCACGACGATAAACCGATCACGACGATAAAAAAGTCTTAATAGTTTTTCCCTGATTTCAAAAGATTCTACCTTAGCTTTTTATAGTTCAAGGTATTTGGGTTTTACGACATGAATTTTTAGCCTTACAGAAAGCAAGAGTTTTTCCAGACAAAATTTTCCTACCTTTACCTCTTATGCTCATATTAACTGTTAAACTTTTCATAAATGCCCTTTGAGTGCTTAAAGCATACCATTTGATTTGCCTTTACATGATATGAAAAAATATACCAATTTTTCTTACATTTTCTTCAAATGTTGTTCTGTGAAATAAAACACTTTTGGGGCTGTATCATATTCTCAGTAGCTGTTCAAGCCCTCAAGTCTCTACGTAGTCGGTACCACTCAATATTAAACAAACTTAATGGTTGTGTGTAAGAAGGAAGAACCACAGGATAGGCTGTCCGCCGGATTCTGTGAATCTTGCAATGAGTAATAATACAAAAGATATTCAGGAACAAAGCAATACGACGACGAGAATCCAATGTCACGAGATAAAATTTTCATAATAAATTAAATTTAAGGAATATACTAAAATCTCGCCCCGGCATACAGGGCTTCATCAGAGTAAAAAGAATTAATAGTTGTGCCCTTAGAATAATGGTTGTGCCCCTTAGAAATATGGTTGTGCCACAATATTGGTAGCATGCTGTTATCATTGTTGTGTTGAAAGTTCGATGGTGAAATTTTGTCTTGGCGAAGTCCTGAAAATTGTCCGAAATTTTTTTCGATGAAATTGTTCTCCTAAAATTCTATCAATTGCTTTGCAAAAATTTTGTTCCCGGTCTAAACTCAACTCGGAAGTTGAACAACTAAAATACATTATTCTGGAGAACGGCTAACCAGAGGACGTCATTTTGGTTTGCACTATGGAGAAAATCGCAAGTTTCTCGACCGAAGTAAAATTTGGACAGCAACAGTCTGGCTTATATAAAACTACCCTGGATCGGTAACAGTTTCTTGGGATTTTAAAGTCAGATTAAACAGCTACAACAACTACAATAAAAAATACTGTGCTTTGCAAAAACTGTCAGTTACTATAGCCAATGTGATCTAGCTAAAGGTAAAGGACAACGTAGATATGCCCAAACATAATCAGATGGATTTTGGAATGGACAGAAGAGACAGAAGAAAGTCTGAAGATCTTTCTAAAAGACAAAAACGCTTTCCTAGCGTCCTGTTCAGGTCATTCAAACTCTTTGTAGAAGAAGAGATCCTGTTAGCCTGGCAGCTTTTTAGACCAAAAGAAAACTCGTTGATTCAAATTACTGATAGAAGAGGTCCAAGACAAGATCCCTGTGGAACATCAAAATGTAATTCTGTCATTTGTAAAGTAAAAACATCGTTTATCGAAGAATACTTTGGGCTCCAGGCCCTAAAAAAGGACCTGGAACAACCCAAAATGATTTTCAAACTAAACTAGAAATTGATTTTTTTAGTTCCTTCGTTATCCAGTTGGGGCGTTTTAACGCCCAAAGTGATGTTCTGCTATCCTGATGACTTTATATAAAATAGAAGCTGTAAGCAGCAGCACCAGAATGAATAAAAAAAATGGTTAGGGCATAGTTCCGTGCAAATCCTGTAAAGCAAAGTTATAATTTGATTATCCTTCATATACATATATCAGGAAGGCACCACAACCTACCTGAATTACAAAGCCAAACACGGATGTATTTCGATAATAGTGACTGCTTTGGAAAGCCAAAATGAAAATATTTGACTATTTCTAACACAGTAGATATTTCAAATTAAGTTGCAATTGATAAAAATGAGGGAAATCCCTTAAGTGTCCCCACCTGAAATCGAGTTTACTGTTTATTTATGACATGTTGTATATGACATATGGGCAAAACGAGAAATGGGTCTCTATAGCTGGCTCCAGTGAATCTGCTATATATGAATATTAGTCATTCAAGATTGTTAGAAAAAAGATAAGAAGAGAGAAAAGTAATTATATATAAAAATAAAAAAGTGAATCATGGACATTTGCAGTTGCAAATTCAGTCTTTTTCAATCTGGGATAACGCCATTTATAGAGGAGCAATTGGATTTATCAGCAAAAAGTCACGAAGGCTTTAACATGGATACAAGAAGATTCCACCACTAGCATATAATCCTTCTAGCTGAATTGATAAAATTTTTCATTCAAAACTGGCCAATATCGCACACTGGGCATTGAACTTACTTAAAACCGAAATACCGTCCCATTGGAGGAAGATTACCGAATCACCGACAGAGGAAAAGGCAAATGCAGCAATACCGTCAACCCCAAAGGTGCCCTCCTCCCCTGGTGCCTTTTAAGGAGAACCTAACTTGTTTATGACTTAAAAGGTACTCTTAAAATACTTAATATTTGAAGGGATAATCCACGGTTGTTACTTTGGTTAACTACAACATAGAATAATAGATAAAAATCTTAATTTCAAAAGTCACGTCTCAAATTTATGCAAAAGAGCCAGCAAAAAACTGCATGCTCTTGCTAGAGTTTCGCCATTTATGGGTTCTGATAAACTGCGTCTCCTAATGAACAGCTTCATCAAAGCTCAGTTTAGTTACTGCCCCCTAATTTGGATGTTCCATGACAGATGTCTGAATGCTAAAGTAAATAAAATCCACGAAAGAGCACTCAGAAATGTTTATAAAGACAGTCATGCTGACTACGAAGCATTGCTGACTTTGGATAATGCAGTATCAATTCACCAAGGCAATCTACAGTACTTGATGATAGAAATATACAAAACCAAACATAACCTGAACCCTAGTTTCATGAGTGAGATTTTCGAAACAAGAAATGTACATTATGATTTGCGAACTAAAAATAATCTTTGCATTCCAAAAGCCAGGACAACTTCTTATGGTATAGAAACTGTGAGATATTTAGGTCAAAAACTGTGGCAAACACTACCTCACAGTATAAGAGAGTCCCAATCATTGGCAACATTTAAAAAAGAATTAAGATCACACCCTATAGAATGCGACTGTAGATTGTGTAAAAAATTTATTGCTGGGCTAGGTTTTATTTAGAACATAATACCTTAAACCTTTTTATTATTGTATCATATATTTTTATTTCATACTAACTCTTTATAGATAGTTGGCCTTAATTAGCTTCTTTATAGCTATCAGCCTTTCATTTAGTACGCCAACTTTAAACAAATTATTTATTATTATTATTATTATTATTATAGAATAACAAGCTAATCCTGAGAGCCGAAAAACCTAAATACGCCAGCTTTTATGCCGAATGATAGCTTGATAAGCTGAAATAGCTCTAGTTTACATTTTTGGGGCTTCCATTTCACTTTTTTGTATGTCTATATTTACATGCAACACGGGCGTTAGTCTAAGCTACTCTCCTTCATTCTTTTTTTTAACTACTTTGTTTTCTGTCTATATGTGTTTTTTTATAAAATTTTCATATTATGCAGAGAACCCGCCATTTCTTAGCTTGCTTTATCGATGCTTTTTTCTTTCCTTGAATCGCCTTCCTTTTCCTTTAAACGCTGAGCAATTAACCGATCAACTTTCTCTATGACAGATTGATCTTCATTGCTTGTAGAGTTACTTCCTTTCTCAAAGTTAATACACGGCATCTTCAAGACATTGAAGTACAAATCGCCCACGGCATCTGCTGTGTGGCTGTCAGCGTACTTTAAGCATTCTGCAAATGCATCGTCACATTTACAATCGTACACCGTATATTCTCTCTCATTTTTGAACCCGTACTGCTCCTTTTTGGCAGGAATCGATCGGTCACAATTTTCGTGATCAATGCAACACCTATTTAGTCTCTCAAACCATCCATCTTTTTTGCTTTGTTTGCTCACCACAACAGCTGGGCCATTGTTTTGATCTTCTATCACCCTGTTAGGTTTATTCACTTCATCCTTCAAACGTTCTGGATGCAGATCTTTGTGGAAAGAATTCAAGTCTATAGTTTCCCTCTTCTCTCCAAGGCTGCCGTCTTTGTTTTTAATAATGCCATTTCCACAAACTTTGTTTCCTGCAATAATCAGTTTTTTTGCAAAAATAGACAATTCAGAAGTGCGATAACCTGTTATAAAATTTATTTTATTTTATAGGCCGCAAATGATACATCTGAAGTGATTGTATAGTTCTAAATAGAACCATAATTTTCGCTCCAAGCATGAAACATAACCGACATTTAAGTCCGATATGCCAATCTTAAAAAAATAAATTGGCAATTTCCTTACAATATTGGTATTAAAATAAACAATTAAAGAGACAATTTTGGAAAAAAAGTTGAAAATGCTACATAACTGCTTGAGGAAAAAAGGAAGTAGTGAAAAAATTAACGTTAATTTCAACTGACAAAAATAGGACAAAATTAATCTCCGTTGAATATGTCAAAATTAAGGTTAATTTCAACTGACAAAAATAGGACAAAATTAATCTCCGCTGAATATGTTTAAATTAATTCATAAAATGCAGTTTTTCCAAGATGCAATAAACATATGTACACTCACAAAGAACTAATTTATACTTTTCCATCACATTCTTTTTTTTTACACATACCACTTGAAAATGGCTTTGAAGAAGCAAAATTTCACAACGAACAAGCATTTTCCTCTCTCGTATTTTATTTTTACTCATACTCATATTTCGTTCCTATTTTCACTCTCATAGGAGTGAAAAGCTGCTAATGTGTAGACAGAAGAAGATCGTTTTTTTCCCTTGGACTTCAGTGGTGAATTTCCTATGAGCACGCCGGACTGATCGGATATCTATACCGGTAAAATGCACGTAGCAAGCTTATTGGTCTTTATCGATTAACAACTGGGTATATATCATCTTTCTTGTTCTTTTGGACCCTTATTCTGATGTTTTATGCGTGTAACAAGTTGAACGTGTAACATGTTGCAAAACATTTGTCAAAATAATTTTTTTCAAAGCCAATTTCAAATTTTTTACAGCCGAATTTTTTTTCGTATGTAGATTTCCAATAGCAGCCTCTAAAGCCATAAGTTTAATCCCTTTCTAAAGTTATAATAAGATGAGCAAAGGTATGTTTTCATCTTTTTAAAGAAACTTTTATTAATTTTGCTCCCAAAGCTACTTCCACTTAATCATTTAAAACTGTGAATAGATTAAATTTTACATATGAAAACCAAAAAATGATTATGCTATTAAGCGAAAAACGATTTATTTTGAATACTTTCTTGATTTTGGAATGCTATGATAATTTTCAGTGGATAAGCTGTTTAATAAAAAAAATGAAACTCCAATCTTACCGATCATGATAGCTCTTTTGACTATGCCAGATCTTCTGTCAGCTTGCTCTGATATCACGATCGGATCTAGGTGAAAATATTAAACTGATGAAACCTAGCAAACGATGTTGGAAATTCAAACAATCATTTATTTATGTACGATAACCCTTTGAGATAAAAATGAATTCTTACAACTGTTTTTAGAAATTTTTCACGAGTTTCGTTGATATCTACCTAAATGACATGTTTATGTTTATGACGGAGAGCAAAATATGCAAAAATGCTGATGAATACTATCTATGTCTGCGATAGCAATCATGAAAATGTAATCAATAGATTAGATAACGATACCGTTATTCTTTCAGATGGTTTCAAAATAACCACATGAGGCTAAATGTTGACAAGTGCCATTTGATGATTTTTGGAGAAAAAAGCAGTGATTTATTGATAAAAGTTGGAAGTACAACCATAACCGAAGGCACAGAAGAAGGCAAGAAAGCAGGTCAAAAGCTGCACGCTCTGTCGCGTATCTCCTACTTACTTGGCACTGAAAATTTCAAGCATACCATGCAGGCTTTTATCGTATCTCAGTTCAGATACTGCCCTTTAGTGTGGATGTTTTGTGACAAACATCTAAATAACAAGATCAACCACATTCATAAAACGGTACTGAGTAGTATCGCATACAAAGATATTGTTTCTGACTTTAATACATTTTTGACATGATATAACTCTGTGTCTGTCCACGAACGGAATCTACAATTGCTGATGACAGAGATCTACAAAACTAAATCGAATATCACCCCAACCTTTATGACTGATATTTTCATTGAGAAGAATCTCCCCTATCAACTAAGAAACAACAAATGTCTGTTACAAAAGCCAGGGTTTGGATAGAGAGTATTACTTTCTTGGGATGTCAACTGTGGAATGGACCCTCAAATGACGCCAAACAGTCATTGAATATCTCAATCTTTAAAAAACGCATAAAAGAATGACAAGGCGATGAATGCAAAAGACGTTATACGCCTCTTATACGCCGACATTAAAGAAATATCCGATATGATTTGACAAGTTAAGAACAATCTGTAGTAAACGTCTTTTAGTCTTATAATATATATGGTCCTTGCACATTATGTTCCTAATAATAATGATAATAGACCAGACGGAGAATGGGGGTAGGGCCCCCCCCGGGGAAGTAATTCTTATTAAGTAGCTTTGGGTAATTCTAGGGTGCTGATTCCGAAAGTCGATGTTATACGGGCAAGTTTGGGGACCCTCAGCCTCTATTTCATGCTAAGTCTCGTTTTCAATAAAAAAAAGTGGCAGTTGTTTTTAAGAATCCTTCCTTCGGGGAAGTATTTAGAATTCATTGGATCGAGAAAATTTTAGGATGTTGATTCCAAAATTCAATATTCTAAGGACTTAGAAGGGGGCGTTTGGCCTCAATTCCATGTTTTAACCTCGTTTTCATTCAAAAAGGACAGAAGTGGCTTGAAAAGATTCCTCCCAATCAGGAAATTTTTCCAAATTTGGCGCAATAGAGTAATTATAGTGTACTGATTCTAAGGATAATGTTTTAAGGATTTTTGGGGGCCTATTTGGCTCCACTTCATAACAAAGTCCCGTACATTGCTTCACATTACTGTACACCAAATTGTAACACCTAATTTGAAATGAAATGAAACTTCATTGCCTGTGTTTCATGTTTGTTGTTGGTAACGTAATGCATGTCTCAAAATCCTCAGATCCTTTTTTTGAAATGGTGGTTGCGATCAACATGAATGGCAGCTAAAAGAACTTGTATCGTTCACTAGGAATCGATAAGCAAGTCCGAAAATCTCGCTAAAGTAAGCGTTGAGTCATTTTAATCGTTGATTAGGTGCAGCAAAATTCACGAAAACCTTGGTGGAGAGAATTATCACAGATAACAATGCAAAAACCTTGCACAACTTTTTAAACATGATTAGGTATTCTACTATTGAGGACGCTATCAGAGATTCACTTATGCAAAAGCATTGATGAAGAGAAAGTTAACGAAAGTGTGATTCTGGCTACGTAGGACGCACAACCCAGAGATTTTGGGATAGGATAAAATAACATGTTCCTTCCAACATGAGAAACAAAACAGCCCCTCAAAGAGAACAGCCTCCTCGATCTTGTAGGTCTAGAAACACTATTAAAACAAGTGATTCTGCCATCGGTCAACATCTTTTAGACAACCCAGATTGTGCAAAACTCTATAATGACGACATGTTTCGGATAATTGGCAGAGCCCGGTCATCCTTTCATCTAGCAGTTTTGGAATCGATCTACATACAAACGAAAAGTCACCATTGTGTAGACAGACATTGTGTATACAAACGTCATCGTTTTCGCTTTTTGACTCCAGTGGTAATTTTTTTTAGGCACGCGGCACTGATTGGTCAACTATACCGGTCTTGTGCTTGCGTTTTGCGGATTGGCCTATTTCGGTCCACAACTGGGTATATATTTTTATCGTGTTCTTACGGATCTTCATTTTGACGTTTTATGCTCTGAGGAGTGTCAGACGTTTGCTTTTTTCAAAGCTTTTAGTTAATATGTTGTCAAATGTTTTCTTCTTTCAAAGCCATTTTCAAATGTTGATTATTTGGATTAAACACTTTTTAAGGGTTGAAAACTGTGATGTTTCTGTATTCCATCCCGCCTTTTTTTTGAAGGCTATGGAAGAGATAATTTCAAGCCTTTGTAACTAACATTCGCAGACCACGGCAACTTTTTCATAAATCTATCGAGGAACAAATGTCATGAAATAAAAATTAGTGTATCTTAAAGCACATTTAATAAGTTAATTTTTTGTGTGTAGTGGCCTATTTTCCCTGCTAAAACGTGCCGAATAGGCCTAAATCTAGCTGTGAGGCACGTTTGTTATCATATTATTTAATTATGATTGGCTAATGTGGTATGAAGAATTTTGGTCCCCCCAGCCAATCAAAGATATGGAGCCTATGCTCTTCTTTACAGAGATGTAAGACTATGACTGTTTTAGCAACATTTCTTGACTATTTTTCTTTCAATTTCCATTTTTTTATAATCATTCTACCCAAATAGAGCAGTTTACATACCAATGAAAAATATACTCTACCTCGTTCATACCCACCCAGATGATGAAGAGAGTGTTCATTGCCGATTGTCATGCAGAAGGCAGTTAAAAGAGTCAATGTTTTCATTAGAAACATTGTTGCTGTGTTCCTGAAATGTGCAAAACCTGTCTAGATTCATTTCTATATCCATGTCGAAATTTTGTCATGGTCACAGAAATTCAAAGTGATAATCAAACAATAAACAAATCTAAGAGAAATATTCTTAGTTAGTTTTTAATTTTCATAGATTGGAGCCAACAATCGTTTTTACTCTTCATTGGAATATCAGGTAAGGAACAAAACATTCAATCGTAAACTTTGTAATTCATTCTTTTATTATCAACACAACAATTAGTTATGTCTTGGTGCAAAAGCAAACGAAGTAGAGACACTATCAAAAGCCTATCAAAAACCTATTTTGTATTTAGAAAAATAATTTGCAAGGAGAATGCTTATTATTCAATCTAAAATAATTTTAAGAATTCTTTTGGAAAGAACGACAACTGAAAAATTTTTTTTCTTTGAAAAATCGCATTTCACGAAATGTTGCAAGAGACTGGCTATCAAAAGATTCATATTTTCTCTATTCAGTACATGTCAATTAAAAACAACAATAATAAAACTTGTAAATTTCCTGCAGCCGAAAATGTTTTGAACCGTAGGGCTTGGACTGAATAACGACCGAGCTTTTAATGTTGACTCAAACACCTGCATTTATTTGTTTGACTGTATGCTTACTACATTGATTTTTCGATTTACAAAATTGTCTTTGATTGATGATTCATATAGTTAAAGCGGAAAGGTAGTAAATTTCGTACCTGTTTGCAATAGTTAAAAGTTCATCTTGATTTTACTGCAGGTTGATTTGGACACAATCCTTGAGATTTTCCACTACAGAGTGAAGGCCACCCGTTGACCTTTCGACTACACTGAATTCTCAAATTTCACTGGGATCAACTAAAGCAGGAACATTTACCTGTGCATGAAAACAAAGGAATAAACAGCTCCATAGCCATCTGCTTATCAATAAAGGCCTTAAGGCTCAGAGCAACTGGTCCATCGACTGTGCAGCAGGCATGAATTAAACCATTTACTTTTTTCCCTACCCTCTTCGCGCGACAGTGCGACATGCACAAGTGAGTGAGTTAAAACATTGCTTTTGTTATTCTGAACTTGCAACGTATTCTCATAAGAGGTACATAAAAAGAGATGAATGTGCAAGAAATTAGCTAAGAGATATTTCTTTGCTTTTGCAGGACAGGAATAGATGGTGTTGCATCTTCAGGATGTGTTGCATCTAGATTTTGCCGGAAATAGTGCAATATGGCCTCGTACCTGAGAATAACACTAGGTGTTAATTGTCAATTCTGTCTGAAATTACACTGAATGTTATTTCCACATTCTGAGGCTGCTGCTTACATCGGGCTAGGTGGGTACGGCCGCAGAATAATTGGACCGCCATTGTAACGCCTATTTTTCGTAGGCCTACACTGAAAGGCCTACCGGAAGGACGATTTGCAATAATTTGGATAACGTAAATTAACATCTTTTCATCACATTGGAATGAATTGTTAGGTAAAATGAGAATCACAGTGTTAAATTTTATTCCATATGGTCCAGGACATTTAAACATTGCCTCAATGACAATTGTCGAAACTGTAAATACCTGAGGACCAGAATAATTAGACAGCCATTGTAACGCCTTAGTTTGGATAAGGTTAATTAACATCTTGTCAGCCAATTGGAATGAGTTATTAGGTAAAATGGGGATAATGGTGTCAGATTTTATTCCATATAGTCCAGGGCATTTTAATTTCATTCCAATTCAATTCAATTCATGTATATTTTCAACAATAATTAACTAAATACAGTATCAAAATAACAATACATCAATTTACCAGAATATTGCTGAAGGACATATGGAAAGAGCTCTGATAGAGCTTTCGGGCCATATGCCCCCTGTGACGTGTAAAAGATCAAGAGCAGTTAATATACATGCATTCATTGCTAAAATTTAAGAAAATATTTTATGATAAAGATCAAAATAAAGATGAACATTAAGAAGATGAGAACAAACTAAAACCATTGTAAATAAAAAAAGGGGAAAAGGGGTTGAGGATCATCTTGTATTTTTAGGTGTATTCTTGAAGTAACAATTGTTTAAAAAGACGTGAAAAGGTTTTTTTGGAAGCAGCAATTTTTATGTTACTTGGTATATTATTCCAAATTTTTATACCAGGATTTGTTATGAATAAATATTTGTAGTTTGTTCTAATTTGAGGCTGGAAAAAAGTTACCGCTAGTAGCCTGTCGGGTTCTAATGTTATGACACTAGGTAGTAAGATGAAAGAAGTCACAAATGTAGCTATCAACGTTCCCTCTTGAAACTTCAAACATAAATTTAGCACATTCAAGTTTGTACATATGTTCAAAATTTAGGAGGCCTAATGACTTGAAGAGAGGTTTACCAAGACATGTACTATTTTTGAAAAGAATTAATCGCATTGCGTGTTTTAGCTTTTTCCTCAAAGGGTCCAGACTATTAGAGTATGCTCCCCCCAGTTTATCAGACCATAATTTATGTATGGGGAAATAAAAAGAGTTATAAATACTAAGTAATATATCCTTGGGTAGAAAATGTATTAATTTGGCTAAAATACCAAGGCTTTTGAAAATTTTTATGTTAACATTTTGGATATGTGGTGTCCAGGTGAGATTCTTGTCTATCAGATCTCCGAGGTATTTAACTTATGTGTAAATGAAGAAAAGGTCACTGTAGCAGGCTGCTCGAAGGGCTCCAAGGAGTTCTTGCGGCGAAAAGTCGATAAAAATGTAGCAAATATGAAACACCGCATTACGCCGAGAATAAACAACAATAAATACACGTAAATCAGTAAAGGCTAATATTTCGCCCCGGCATGTGGGGCTTCATCAGAGGAAAAAAATGTAACATCGGTATTTTACATAGTCTGACTCTTTTAACTGTTCACCATTATTAGATATATTAAGGGTTTTAGGTTCCTTCTTATGACGTGGCTTGATAGAGCTGAGATTTACTTGTGTTTAGGGTTAACATATTAGCAGCAAGCCAGTCAGCAATGTTATTTAATTCGTTACATAATGCTTCTTCTAAAATGTTAAAGTTATAATGCGAATACAGCAAATAGGTATCATCAGCAAATAGATGAAAATTGAAAATTTTAGGTGCATTTAGCATTTAATTTATATAAAGCAAGAAGAGCAGGGGGCCCAAAACATTACCTTGAGGCACGCCACATTTAACATCCATGTCTTTAGAGAGCTCACCACCTTCAAATTCTCTTTGGGATCTCTCATTTAAGTACGATTTGGACCACTCCAAGGGAACACCTCTAATGGCATAATATTCGATTTTACGTAATAGTATTGTCTGGTCAACTGTGTCAAAAGCTTTTGCAAAATCAAGGAATATACAGCAAGAAAATTTTTATAAAAAATAAACAACGATGTCGACTTTTTCTTTTGAAAACCAAATTGATGAGGATACAGTATTTTATTTTTTTCGAGAAATTTAATTGACCGGGAGTACATGAGTTTCTCATAAATCTTGTTTATTAAAGGTAACAAAGATATTGGACGGTAATTGGAAGCTTCATGCGGGGAGTTAGCTTTGAATATAGGTAATATCTTAGCAAACGTAAGTGCTTTGGGGGTAATAACCAGTACTAAATGAAGTATTTACAATATCAGTTAAAGGTTTGACAATTGAGCTTTGGATAGCTTTAATCAGTTTAGCAAGAATGTCATAACAGTCTGGAGCTTTGGATTCATCCAAATTATTAATTTTATCTAATACCTCAACTTCTAGTACAGGTGATACAGCAAAGCTATTTCCTGGGGGGCTATTCAAGTAATCACTAAATAGTTTATTAGTTTTACGATTTTTACTAACCAGGCTCTTGGCAATGCCTGTGAAATAATTATTAAGTTCATTTGCAATTATTTTATGATCTCTAACTAATTTTCCATCAATGTTGAGGGAAATATCATTTGTTGCCTTGTTTTTATGTCTGTTACTTAATTAATTAATACCTTTCCAAATTTGTTTCGAATTATTTCTACATGATTCAAAATATGATCTATAATGGTTAACTTTACTTCGTCTGATAGACGACTTGAAGTATTTATAGTATTTATAGCGTTCATACCAAACAAATTTCTTGATTTTTTAAAAATTTTTTTATAATATTTCTTTTTTATTGATATGGATTTTAGGATACCTTTTATAATCCAAGATTTTGCTGCATTTTAAATTGCTTTTTAGATAATGCTCGTAAAGGGGCATGCTTATTAATATTTTCTAAGATTGTTTCTCGGAATATGTTATATTTTTCATTTAAGTTCGACCTGGACAAGTCAGATAAATCAAATTTTACTGAGCTTAAGTCATTCATATAAATTTCAATATTAAAATTTCTAAAATCACGTTTTTTATATAAGATCTATTTTTCTTGTTAGTTTGTTTATCAATCAGCATAAAGTTAGGTAAGTGGTCAGTTACTGATGCGATTAAATTACCACTAATGACATTATTTTCAATAGAATTATAGAAAATGTTGTCGATTAAAGAAGGTCTTTCCCTTCCTGTGCACCTTGTTGGTTGTAGAATCAGGGGCTGATAGAAATTAGAGAACATAAGATTATAAAATATTCTGCGATAGGCATTGTATCTGTTCTAAGAAGGTCTATATTAAAGTCACCGGTTAGAAAAACTGATTTATGTTCCTTTGATAATTTTTTAATAGTCAAGTCTAGATATTCTAGAAGTTTTGAAGAGTCTTTTCTTGGGTGATCATAGACGGCACCGATAATTGTATTATCCAGTTCAATCCAGAAAGATTCAAATTCACAAATTTTGTCCTTATACGTAAACTGAAGATTCTTTTTTTCTTGGAAAGCAAGAATTTCATTTACTAAAAAACCACATCCGCCGTTTTTGTTGTTTCCCTTAATTCCTATGTATCTCATGTAACCCGGTAAGGTGACGTCTTCGAATAAATTATTATTTGATTTTGTATGCCACGTTTCTGATAGAGCGATAGTGTCAAATATGAAATCAAGGGTTTGTAAGAGAATTTCAAGATTATCTCTGTTCGCTAGAAGAGATTGAATATTAGTATTGAGTTAACTAAATACCGGATTTTTAAGATTAGAAGTTGTCTTGTTAAATTTCTGTGTAGAGTTATAATCAAAATTTGAGTTAAATTTAGCATGGCTATTTATATCATCGTTAGACAGTGGGCTATGTTCGTTCAGCTCCAAATTAGAAAATTTAAGTTTTTTAAGAAGTTTATAATCACATGATTTTGAGTTTATGTTTTGGCAAGATGAGTTAAAATTCAGTTCAATTAATTCATTTTTAGTTAAATTATGAAATGGGAACTTAAGTTGCCAACAAATTGAGCAACACCAAACTGATAGGATCTTTGAAGTGCCTGCAAATTCCCAATATTGAAGTCGTGAACATTTTTATGTACGAAGAATGAGTACACGAAGGGGGAATTTTGTCGGCTCGATGGGCATCCATATATATATATATAAATATATATCTCCTGAAGAGTGAGTTACTCACGAAACAGGCTTGTAGAGATAAACCATGTAGTCTTATTCTGTTCAACTCTATGATATATCACGCTCTACGTGCTAACGTATTGAGCACTGTACTACGGAAGTATCAAAAGACAAATTTCTATATATATATTCCAGATTGCGTTGTCTATTCTGACGTGACAGTGCTCGATGTGCAAAAGCACAGAGCAATATATATAATAAAATAGAATATAGACTAGAAGACAGACTGTAATGAATAATATTCCTGCTACCGCAGTATAAATATACAAAAGGTGTGATAAAGTTAGACAGAAGAAATTTTATTAGATACAGGTTAACTAGTTAGGTGGAGTTCTATTGTTCATGAGATAAAACTTGTTCTCGTGTCGGATCGTTTGTTTAGAAGAGTGTTGTTATTTGCTTTGATGATGTATAGTTTTTCTGTTAAGCATAGGTCACACTTTTTTGTAATGTTGTTGTATGGTTTGGCTGAGGTGATGATGGTCCCTTGTATGTCATAATCCTTGTTTTTGTCTTTAAGTTCCCAGATGTATTTTGATAGTTCGGTGCTGTTGGCGTATTTTCGGTTGCGGAATGAGAGTTGGTATTGTGTAAATCGTTGTTTGAAGGTTCCTTCTGTTGGGCCAATGTAGTTTTTGCTGACAGTGTCTTCGGTTGTAGTGATATGTGCGTTGTAGATGATGCTGGAAGAGAGGCAGTTGTTGTCTAGTGGGCATTGGTCTTTTTTTCGGCAGTTGCATGTTTTCTCGTTGGTAGTGGTGGGATTGGTGTTGATAATTTTCTTGTTGTGTTTGTTGATGATGGTTTGCATATTATCCATACAGCTGTAGCTGACTTTCACGTTGTTCTTGTTGAAGATCTGATAGAATTTGTGATTCTTGGGGAAGTGTATGTGTATGAGCTTGAGGAAAGTTCTGCCGATGTTAGTTTGTACATTCTTGTTGTATGGTGGGTTGTACCAGATTATGTTGCGCTGTCTGTTTCTTCTTTTACGTGTGGGTGATGTGCGGTCGTTGTATATTAGGCTGTCGGGGTATCCACTGGCCTTTAGGGCGTTTTCATAGATGGGCTTTGCTTTGTTGACTTCACTATCGTTGCATGATATGTCAGTTATTCTACGATTGATTGCTCCAGGTAAGTGCTTTATGATGTTGGGGGGATGGTTGGACTTTGCATTGATGTATAGTGGCTGGTCGTTGGGTTTTCTGTATGGACAGTACGATTGATTTGTTAGGTTTAGTGTTACGTTGAGGTAGTTCACAATTTTTAGGTTGGTCTGTATGGTGATGCTGAGGCCGTGAGTCTTGAAAAGTTTTGTAATGTCCTTCCTGATTCTTTCTGCCTGTGGACCAGGAGTGTTCTTAAAGACAGCGAGTCCGTCGTCTCTGTATAGACCTATGTTGTCTTTTCCGTATTTTGCAACCAGCTTGTTGAGGATGAAAAGACCAACCAGTTCACAAATTTCCGCGCCGTCAATGCTCCCCATAGTAACATCGAACATATGGCTGTCTTTTTTCGTCCATGTATTTCCTTTGCTTCCATGTATTTCCTTCGAAAAGGATACCAATATCATTATGCATGCCCGCAAATCTCTCCTATTCAGCAAAGTCTTTAATTTTCTATGTAGGATACAAAAGAAAGTGCGGGAATGTGCGATTTCACGTTTCACGAGTTTCTGCAAAAATTAACTTTCATTCAAGGAACTCGGGACATTTAAAGAGTCTGAAGCAAGGGCGGGAAATTCGAAAATATTTCGAATGTTACAAATCTGTTTAGTTTTCCGCATGTTTTGCAAAGTTGGCGAAAGTTATTCGAAGGTTTCCAGGCCTGCAAAATTGTCGCAAAATGCTTGCAGGTACTTTTCAGTTTTCTCTAGGGTTGATCCAAAATTCATTCGAAATTCTTCAGACCCCGTTGGATAAGGTAGTTTGGTGTAGGAAAAACATAGAAACAATGGAAATTTGTTAAAAGTCTGAAGTCAGACCAACAGTTACGAGAATGATCTATTAATAATGTGGGGAATCCAAGGCCGCGTTGGTATAAATTTTTATTCCCTGTGACACACTGAATAGATTCACAAAAGTGCGTCTCTTTCAACGCTATAATAAGGTACGTTTTCCAGCTTAGGCCCGTATAGTTGTTCTCCAAAGATATAAACAATGCGTCGTGTTTATGTATCCATCGAATCCTCAACTAAAAACTCAATCCCTACAGCAAGCTACGTTACCCTTATATACTCTTCAACAAGAAATTTCTAGAATAAACTCGTACAATATCACGTGTGGAGGAATACAATCAAGGCTAACTCTAGAAGGTTCTGGAATTATTTTATTATTAGTCAACTTGTCTAGCGTGTTCTACTTGTTTAGCATTATTGAGAATTTACTGGAAAGATCCAGTTCACCACAATAATCTTGTGACTACATTTCTTAATCAAATAGTTGAATTGCCGAGTTGAAGAAATCTTTGCACTCGCAACTAGAAAGTTTACAAAATTAAAAGTTTGGCTGCTCACAATTATATACGAAAGATTCCCCTTCGTAATCAAGTAATTGCACTGCCGTGAGATCATTATGCTGGAACCGTTTTGTCAGCGCGGGTCGTTAGGGATCGTTAGGCACGCATCGATTTCTCTTTCTGCAAGGTTGATAGTGGAATCCAAAGATATGGGTTTGTAAACTTACTGCGTCATAGCAGTCCCCGCCGTTTATCAAGAAACTGTAAATATGCGAAACGCATTTTGAAAAAGCAACCGAATAAGAATAATTATTCGTGTTATGTTATCAAGCGAAAAATTTCCTTCGTCATATCAGAAAAAAAAATCCTAGTTAGGTTCGACTCACAGAGCCCCAATATATGAGTTCTGTAAACTTGCTGCGTCATAGCTTGTTTTTTAGGTATTTTAAATCTGTGAATCGCATTCTCATAGAGCAAATCTGTGAATCGCATCATCAGTTTTGTCCACATCACCAATTCAATATATTGAAGTACCATTCCTCCACATTCTTCGTAAATTGCAAAAGACATGCTATTTTTTATGAATGAGGCATTGGCAATTGTGCCGTGGCAGAGCTTGCAAGGATGGCAGAGCTTGCAACTTACGTCACAATACTTATCAACCAATGGCTGCTTAGAACTAGACCTTCCAATTTGTCACGGGACTGTGACGTTTAAGACAGCACCATTCTTTTGTCCTTATTCCGGGGGTCTGTTCTTACAGCGAGAATATGTAAACAAATGACTTCGAACTTGAGAATACAATAGTGAAACTCAGAATAATTTGCAATTGCGCTGAATTTTGTAGTTATACAGCAACACCAATAGACGTGAACGGACGTAAACCGCTCTCTTGCGAAAATTCAAGGAAAAATTTATACAGACAGAGTGATCTCAGTTTTAAGAATTCAAAGTCTTTTTTAAGAATTCATTTAGGCCCTTCCTCTTAACGAGATGTTCGTCGTTTATAGACTAGAAAACCTATTCTGCTGTATTATAATGCCGATCCAAGCTGAGAAGGTTGAGAAATGTCATTTCCTCCAATAACAAATAAGTTTTGCGGTATCAATGCTCACAAAATTTGCGAATTGTAAAGAAATTTATCGGTTAAGAACACTTGGCATTAGCTGAATTTAGGGAAAAGTGGGGCAAAAAAGTCAGAGAAAGCACCTTGCAAGCTATTTCTCGGACATATTTAGAAATTTAGAATAAGAAGCAAAGCGATTTTTTACGGCTGAGCCTTTCAACAATTAAATTTTAGGCCATATCAGTCAAATTTTTACGCTTGGTATCAGAACCTAAGAAGTCGGGAAGGGAAACGAATGTAATCATAAATCCTCCCATATTCTTGGGTTCTGGTACACAGAGTATCAGTGGCGTAGATAGGAAATGTCATAGAAGGGGCAAAAGACTGAAATTTTCCGACAAAAATCTAACAAACATTTTAATCCCGCTATCTCGAACTCGCACGGGAAATGAAAATACAAATGAAAATATGAAAACGTAGCGTGACTAGATATGGGGACCTGGGGTTTTTTTTATCAAAAAGGGGTTATCTGTATTTAAAAGTAGAATATAAACCAAGCAAAAAATGGCTCATTTATCTCAAAAGCTTTCTTAATCATCAAGCTGAACTAAAGTAAGTCTATTAATGAAGTTTGCTATATATTTTTAGGAGTGCTTCTTCAAGGGAAAATGGCAAAGGACAATAGTTTGATGTCTATTGCTGGTGTCAAAGTAGCATTAACAGAAGAAATACTCATTATAAACACAACTAATTCAAGTGAATTCTTATATCCAAGTCAGGGGTGTCGTCAAAGGGGGGGGGGGGGGTCGGGGGTGCGATACCCCTAAAACTTTATCCATCGGCACATAAATGACAAAAGAGGCAATTTTTGAACTCTTCATGTCACCTTTTTGCAACAATTGTAACTTTTTTGTAATAGTTGAACTTTCAAAGTATGGCATTAAAGTATGAACTTTGAAAGAGGAACGCATAAAAGCAGCATAAAAGAGTATTTATCTTTTGACAAGAGCCTCAAAGAGTGAGACACGCCTTTTTTGTAGGGAAAAACTAATTCTTAACCCCTAAAAAAATTTTTTGGCTTCGCCCCTGATCCAAGTGTACCACGTTTATCATTCTATTTGACTATTATAGGATATTCACCAAAAGGAAAGACAGATAGATTTGCAAAGACAACCTTCTTTCTCAGGGCAGATTGTAACCGTAAAGATTGTCCTCTCAAAATGTAACACTTAAATAAAAGTAGAAAACCATGTTATATTTCCGACAAGATAAGAAGTTTTCCGACAAAATAGCTGTTTAGCTTTACAAGACGTTTTTTGCAGGGATGTTTCAAAAATCAGGCACGGAGCCGCTGGGGGCTGAGAGCCGACGCCCCCTATATTTCTCCAAAATAAATTGTTTAACCGTTTTTTCTATTATTTTTTAAAACAGAGTCTCAAATAAAATAAGAATAAACTGTTTAAGTAGTGCTGATTTTACTGACTTATTTACGTTAAATTCTATTTGTTGTCTATCATTTTATTATGCATCAATTTAGTAAATCAATTTCTGTATCATCGCACTATTTTCATTTTGGATGTATATTGAAACACTTAAGACGAAAAAGATGCACATTTCTGTTTAGTAATTGAAACTCTCCCGTAATACTTCATAAAAAATCCAATTGTTCTCCCCATCAGAGACCATGAAAGCGGGGGGGGGCCTACGGGGGCTTTAGCCTCCTTAATAATTTCCAAAATGTACTTAAAATTGCGCCAAAAATGGTCCTGCTCTTGGTTTTTAGAAAGTTTAGCCCCCCAAATGTTTTAGCCCCCTTAATCCGAAATATGCTCCACAGCTCTTACTCCCCACCATATAATGGCAATTTTTTCATTCTTTCCCCAAGGTCTATCACTAGAGTTTAAGCATGAGCCCTCCCCCCCTAACTTTTCCCATTAAACAATAATCAGTGTTTTCTGAAAAACGAGATTAGGCAAAGTTGTTGCAATGTCGTACCTTTGCTTATCGTTTCTGGAGCTATACTGCTTCATTCACTTGTTTTTATTCTTTAAAATCAAATCTTCGAACAATATCTTCTATCACTAACATACAAATTGTGATTGTCTTCAAATGCTAATGACATTTTTCTTCAAGAAATTCATCAAGAAATTTTGCGTTTTACATAGCGAAATTTTGCGATTCCGTTTTCGTTTTACATCGAGTAAATTTTTTTCTAGTGCTATTTTTCATTTCTAAATGCCTTGTCGACATTTTATGCAGCACTTTTGATAAAATGCCCTCTTTAATAAATCCACATATTCTACGATTATAGATCCACAAATTTAACAACTCCACAAAGTGAGTCAAATCCACACTTATTGTAGGCCTTGGTTGTTGGCAGTGCATCGAATATGAGTGGCAAAGCTAAGGCTCTGAAAATTCGCTAAACATCTATGTCCCTGCCACAAATATTTATTCAATATGGATGTACATCACACTCTTGCAGAAAGCGAGACAATGAGAATTGGACTTGGTGTAGATCAAGGTCTCGCTCTACAATTTCATCACTTCATCAAGACAAGCCCCCCCCCCCCCACTTTTCTAAAATATGATCCTCGAGATTTGTCCAAAAGCGATGTAAAACTCACTGAAGGGTGCAGTAATGTTTGTGTAATACTGCTTTGTGCTTTGCCTTGCAACACATATCATGCTTCGCAGCGACCGCACCGCCACGCCTTACTTGTGTTGCTCAGCATTTTAATTTAATGGTTGCTACCAAGAAATCTACATAGGAGGTTTATTTCGAATCTCATTTTGCTTGTTTCCAAGAGAGGGGCAGTGCGGGTGAATGACTTGACCTTGGGTGTTGGCTTGAAATCACGACCCGATAGCTCAGCGGTAGAGCACTTGACGTATGAAGTCAGGGGTCGTGGGTTCGAGTCTCGCTCGGGTCGGTTATTTTCCCGCACTCTCTATTAATTTGCTTGTTTCCTACCTTCACGTTTTCTAATTAACTCAGTAACACATTTGTATTTTCTCCGCATAATATCTTTTAATCCTATTAACCTTGCAGATTTTAAATAGACCTTCACGTATCATTTATTTGTCCCTTGAGCTATACTATCATATCGCACAATTATGTATTTAGATTTTTACACAATTAGTTCGTTTTATGAGAGCGCTCGAGAAAGGTTCTCCAGTTAGTCTAAAATTACGATTTATTTGTAAAAGCATTTCGTCGATATACATCTTGTTGTTCCGATAAATTTGTCGTTGTTCTTTCGTTTGAATCTGAAAATAAGTGCTTAGACCGCTGAACATATTACACTTGTGTCAATAACAATTGTAAAATACTTTGCTATTCACCGAAGCTAACATGAATCAAATAATGGGGGGAAATTTTGAAACTACGGCCTAAGATACCTATCTACCAGATAAGTGGTATTACCACTGTGGTAACATACAATCTTTGTGAAAAATTGCAAGACATCAGAAAATTTGGTTGAGGAATAGGGTGGCATGCCAGGTTGCGTTTCATTAGCCATGTTACTAGTTGATTTGAGTTTCGCAAACGTGAATCAATGTTGTTTGCTTTGAGGTGATTGTGATACTACGACAAAGCGTTAATTGAAGTGTTGAGATCTTCGCTTTGTTTTTTTACGCGAGTAATGGCATCGCAGCCCCCCTTTGTGATTTTGTTCAAAGAGGCGTGTAAATGCCTGTCAAAGTTCTTGGAACATCAACAAAATTTTAACATAATTTATATAATGAAAGACAAGTAAAATTCATTTTTTTAGAACAAAATTCCAAGCTGCGAAAGATAGCTTTCAACCAGTGTAGCGAATTTCGTAAAACATTTTCCAAAAATTTCATGAAATACATTGCCTTATTTTGTACAATACTTTCCTTGCTTCCATAGCCACTCTTGTTTACCGTATTCTATCATATTTTTGGAGCTTATGTAGAAAAAGATAAAAATCCACCAATAAAAAATTGAGCTTTGGAATTTAAACAATCATTTTTTTGGAAAAATCAATCACACCTGTTATTGGCATAATCATTACAAAATTTCAATTTCATTCGAGTTGAAATCCTAGTGGATTTGCATAAATACTGGTGTAGCATCTTGAATATTGAAATTGTCAATACCTTCAAATGTATTTTTATGTAATTCTGTCTGTCAGTAGTTGCAGAAGATTTTCCAAATTGAAACAGCATAGATTTTATTCAGGGGCGCAATTGCAAATTTTTTTTAAGGGGATGTTCTTTGAAGGAACCGAGTTTTCGCCACGACAGACCAATTTTTGCGATATTGTCGGGGCCGCTCTCCAGGGCCGTCGCGAGGCAGGCCTTGTTGGGGGGGGGGGGGGATGGTTGGCCTTGTGGCCTTGTGGCCTTGTGGCCTTGTGGCCTTGTGGCCTTGTGGCCTTTTGGCCTTGTGGCCGAGGCAGGCCTTGTAGGGTTGTGGATTACAAATTTACCTGATTGAAAAATGATTGCCTGAAATTATATAGCTGCTGTCACAAACCTCTGCAATACATTTTGTGAATCTAACTCTGTATATAATTCGCCACATATATTTTTATAAGATAATAACGGGCTTTCCTAGTAGTTTTGTCAAATCTATATATCGGAACGGGTGAAGGATATAGTTACTACCCGAGGCGGCACCATGGTTGCCGCCGAAGGATAAAATTTTCGAATTTTGATGCTTCCAGTTCCCTGGAAAATGAACTTTTTAAGCAAATTTCACTAAAGCAGTCCTCCTAACCCTCTTGAAAATTCTTTTTTTGCAAACAAATTGAACAGCAGTTAGAAATAACTCGTACAATTTCGCTATGGTCTTGAAAAATACCATGTTGTCAGTTACTTCTAGGTAACAAGCAGCACTGGTTGTCAATTTGGATCACTCTTTCCATCTTAGCATGCCTTTTGAATTTTACGAATAATCTGGATCTCATTGTGAATTGCAGTTTTTTAAACTTTAGGGGAAATGGAAATAAGGCACAATTTAACCTAAAGAGGGCCTGGATTTTTAGATTTATTGCCAACAAGAATATCATATTTAACCAACGGAGGAACTACTTTTGCTTGATCCTTTATTGATTTTATGGCAGGAAGGTCTCTGAAATACCTAAAGCGTTTCTTCCACCGAGCGAATTTTACATGACATTTCCAATTGAGATACTAATGAGGGAATGTGACTGCTGCACTCGCATTCCCCTTGAAATTTGCGCATCCACCGCCACGCATAGCACGGAAACAAGATGAAGCATTTACATATGGTGAAAAAGTTATCGGTGTCGGTGGCAGCTAGAGTTTTTTCCAAAGCAGCTAAAAGATCCCAGAAAACGAGAATCAACATAACTATAACTGACAGCAATTTGCATCCTAACAAAAGCATTAGGGACGTCGTTCATTCAAAAACCCAGCAAATTCGTTCTGAAGGCATGTTATGTTGCTCATACAGAATTTATCATGGACCAAAAGCATAAATCAATGTTCATATAGTCTGGCCATTTTCTTCTAGTAATTTCTAACAAAACCTTAGCTTTTTATCAGTTAAAGTGTAGATTTAGTTGTAAATATAGGTAAAGCTCCAAGATAGAAAAGGCACGTTATGCGGCATGTATGCGGCATGTTGCGAAATGCCGTGGAAATGTTTTGCTTACAAGGTCTTTTATTCACTGTCGAAATTCTTCTGATTTTCGGATGCATGGAGTAGACTCATTTTTTTATAATAAACTGGCTATAAGAAACGAGTACTGGACAGTCAGAAAAAATTAGGAATTTTCAGTACTTGAAGCAGAAAAATTAAGAAATTTTTAAAACGTTAAGAAACTAAACTTTTGTAAAACAACATTTTTGTAAAATCCAAGAACATGATTGCCCTGTTGGCCTAGAACTTAAGACACAAATGATGAAAATATCCTTCCCACATCTAAAAACAGCATAAGAACGGTAGCGAATCTCTTAACGTGACAAAAAAGGTCATGAACATTTCATAACAGTATTCATGACATCATAATTAAGAAACTCTTAAGAAACAATGAGAATTGAAATTTCCAGAACACTGGAGTACTCAACATCGACCTTTTTTTTATAAACAAATGAGAGTAGCCTAGACAGATGTTGCCATGGGTGTTGCCATGTTTTTACAATGGTGGTAATATCATCAAATGTCACACGTAAACCATGAGGTCTTGATTAAAACGCAGCAGCGCTGGTTGGGACCGGACTGGACCGATTCTGTCCACTGTCTTTTTTCGGTGATTAGCCCTTCATAGTAAATGCGTCCACTATATGCCCTACTTTACTGCAATACAGCATGGTACCAGCAGAATTGGGACCAGCTTTGGGTGTGATAGACAGAAAAACTAAGCAGAGGACTAGATGTAGAAAACCAATGTTGGACGAAATGTTGGATGCGATTGACCACCCATGTTGGGTCACCCAACATTTGCAAATCGATGTTGGATGAAGTTTGATCACGGTCAAAAACAAATTTTGTTTTTCAATGTTGGATGCAGTGGCGAAGCCAAAGGTCCTGCTTTTCCTGCCGAGCAGGACCACAAATTTCCAAAGATAACAATTTTTAAAATATTAAAAATTAATTCACTTTATGAAATCATGATATGCCTGATTCAAAGGCATTTCTTTTCAAAGGTCTGTTTCAAAGGTCTTATTCTACACTTATATTTCGTGGCTGTGCTCTTTTTAAATTTTGAGACACAGGGTGACTGGAATTGAATTTCGAGTATCCCGTTCGTACATTGATATCGTCAAAAATTTAGCCCTGTGGTCAGTCCTGCCCAATACTCGTAGGCAGGACTAAACCCTATCTTTGGTCCTGCCAAACAAAGGGCAAACGCCTCGTAGCCCTGTTTTTGGTCCTGCCTCACAATAGAAGAAAACAATGGCACTCCTGCCCTTCAGAAATGGCAGGACCTCAGGTTGAAAAATCTGACACTGGAATTCTCACCAGTGTATACCGTAAACCCACATTTTCGGGGTTATACACTCGCTGGAGTTCGTTTTGCCCAAAACAAAGAAAAATCAGCCTCATCAAAACGCTTACACATAGGGCACTGATGATTTGTTCCAAGTCTGAACTCGACTCGGAACTTGAAAACTAACTAAGATTTTTCTGGAGAACGGCTATCCACAAGATGTTATTTCAGTTTACATTAAGGAGAAGATAGCAAATTTCTCGGCTGACGTAAAATTTGGTCCTCAAAAGGGCCCGGTCTATCTAAAACTACCCTGGATCGGTAACAGCTCCCTACGTTTCGAAAGCCAAATAAAACAGGTCATAACAAATTGTTCATTCGCGGTTAACTCACGTGTTGTTTATAGTACAAAAAAGGCCCTTCCGTCCATTCAAAAGGACTGCGTTCCTGCCACAAAAAAAAGTTCTGTTGTTTATGGATTTACGTGCCGTGACGCAGGATTGCAAGGGGCGCCTACGAGAAATGGACATACCGAATTAAAGCCCCGAAATGTCCCTCGTGGGTTTCTGGCTGATGAGTTGCTTTTTTATCATTTTCTGCCCAATTACAAGCTAGTTGCTTAAAACATACAAGGACACACACAACCACCCCCCATCTGAGTTTGAGGCTGTAACCAGGTGGTAGTGACTACTCCTTATCTTCTTTTTTCTCATTTTTCTATTTTGGATTTGATACTTTGATTCACATATTGGTTTTTTAGTTTTTACCTTCTATGCCTATAAAAACAGGGGGCAATGAGCACTCTTTGATCTGCTTTGCCTCAATAAGTTATGAATGGCCAATGTTGTCATTATTAATTTCAAGCAAAATAATGGATGAAAAACAAGCCAGCGGCTTGCTATAATCCCAAACAGGTTTTCTGATATTCTTCTAGCTCGGCTGTGACGGTAGTTATAAATTCTCTTTTGATCATCAAGACTGGTTTAGGGAAATGGTTTCATCAG